TGACTGACTGATAGATTGACTGATTGATTGATTGATTGACTGATTGATTGATTGATTGACTGATTGATTGATTGCAGGAAATTTATTTCATTATCAAAGCAAACAGCAGCTTTAAGAGAAACAAGGCTCGTCTGTAAAAAACAAACATTTGGATCACAACAGAAACAAGCCTCTTTAAACTGGTCCAGTGGAAGAGTGGTCCGGTGATCAGGTGGTCCAGTGATCAGGTGTAGTGGTCAGGTGGTCCATTGGTTTAGTGATCAGGTGGTCCAGTGATCAGGTGGTCCAATGGTCAGGTGTAGTGGTCAGGTGGTCCATTGGTCTAGTGGTCAGGTGGTCCAGTAATCAGGTGGTCCAGTGGTCAGGTGGTCCAATGGTCAGGTGGTCCAATGGTCAGGTGTAGTGGTCAGGTGGTCCATTGATTTAGTGATCAGGTGGTCCAGTGATCAGGTGGTCCAATGGTCCAGTGATCAGGTGGTCTAGTGGTCAGGTGGTCCAGTGATCAAGTGGTCCATTGGTAAGGTGGTCCATTGGTCGAGTGGTCAGGTGGTCCAGTGGTCAGGTGGTCCAGTGGTCAGGTGGTCTAGTGGTCAGGTGTTCCAGTGATCAGGTGGTCCAGTGGTCAGGTGGTCCAGTGATCAGGTGGTCCAGTGGTCAGGTGGTCCAGTGATCAGGTGGTCTAGTGGTCAGGTGGTCTAGTGGTCAGGTGGTCCAGTGGTCAGGTGGTCCAATGGTCCAGTGATCAGGTGGTCTAGTGGTCAGGTGGTCCAATGGTCAGGTGGTCCAGTGGTCAGGTGGTCCAGTGATCAAGTGGTCCATTGGTAAGGTGGTCCATTAGTCGGGTGGTCAGGTGGTCCAGTGGTCAGGTGGTCCAGTGGTCAGGTGGTCCAGTGATCAGGTGGTCCAATGGTAAGGTGGTCCAGTGGTCAGGTGGTCCAGTGTTCATGTGGCCCAGTGATCAGGTGGTCCAATGGTAAGGTGGTCCATTAGTCGGGTGGTCAGGTGGTCCAGTGGTCAGGTGGTCCAGTGATCAAGTGGTCCATTGGTAAGGTGGTCCAGTGGTCAGGTGGTCCAATGGTCAGGTGATACAGTGGTCGGATGGTCCAGTGGTCAGGTGGTCCAATGGTAAGGTGGTCCAATGGTAAGGTGGTCAGGTGGTCCAGTGGTCAGGTGGTCCAGTGATCAGGTGGTCCAATGGTCCAGTGGTCCAGTGGTCTGGTTGGACAGGAGACATGCTGCTCACCTGTCAGGACTCCATGATGTTGACACAAACAGAAGCTCAGACCAGTTCAGTCTGGTTCAAACCCAGATCACATCAGAGACAAGAAAGATTTACATAAATCTAAACTTCAGAGTCTGAAAAATACAAACTTTTCACTAAAATTATGTTTTGTTTTTTAATAATGCATCAAATGATTTCTTGTGTCGAGGTCAGACCCTGACCCCCCTCACAGCCGGGACCCCCGGACGTTCATGCTGTCTGTAAATCACCGGAGTCTCCGGCTCACGGGTCAGGTGTGTTCTGTCCATGAACAGGTGAGTCTCTGCATGCATAAATCAGCCAATCAGGCTCGAGCTCCAGGCTTTGGCTCAGTCAGGTTTAAAGTGTAGAACATGCAGAACCAGGACAAAACTAAACTGAGCAGAAAAACACCTGGATTAAGATTAAAAGTTCTTCAACTTCATCTAAACCTTATCAGGATGAATCATGAAGAGTCTCATGCCTGTGTAGGATGATCCTTACATTAAACAGCAAATCTGTGTAATCTGTATAATCTSTGGTAATCTGTGTTATTCTGTGTGAATAAACATACAGACATGAGAGCTGAACCTTCTGGTTTGGATCTGAAGATTTATGGTTTAGGTCTTATTCTAACGTTAAGGGTCCAGCATATCCTTAATAATTCATACATAATCCCAGTTAATCTGAATAAACACCAGCTTGACTTCTTGTAGAAGGAATAAACGTTACAGAGAGAAAAAGACGACCTACATTCAGTGTTTTCAAGAAAGAATTCTGCAAACGTTAGAAAAACTTTGGCATTTTGTCCACAACTTGTGCAACAGGTGAGAAGTTTCACACAACGCTTCTCTCAGATTATACATCCAGGTAATAATCCCACATAAAACTGTGGTCACTTAAAGAACTATGACCCATCACTAACTAAACACTATTTACACTTCGTTAACTTCGTTAACACTAAACACTACAATTCTTTAGCTACATAATCCCAGATTACTGAGACTGAAAGGAGACCAAAATTAATGTAGCTGAATCACCGTCAGACAAGGTGCACTTTAGAGCCCCAATCTCTGTCCTAATCTGTCTTAATCTGATCTCTGTCCTAATCTGTTTTAATATGATCTCTGTCCTAATCTGTCTTAATCTGATCTCTGACCTAATCTGATCTCTGTCCTAATCTGTCCCAATAAAATCTCTGTCCTAATCTGTCCCAATCTGATCTCTGCCCTAATCTGTCTTAATCTGATCTCTGTACTAATCTGTCCTAATCTGATCTCTATCCTAATCTGTCTTAATCTAATCTCTGACCTAATATGTCCTAATCTGGTCTCTGTCCTAATCTGGTCTCTGTCCTAATCTTTCCTAATCTGACCTCTGTCCTTATCTGTCCCAATCTGATCTCTGTCCCAATCTGATCTCTGTCCTAATCTGATCTCTGTCCTAATCTGATCTCTGTCCTAATCTGTCTTAATCTGAGATATGTCCTAATCTGATCTCTGTCCTAATCTGTCTTAATCAGAGATATGTCCTAATCTGATCTCTGTCCTAATCTGTCTTAATCTGAGATATGTCCTAAAATATGATCTCCAATAAGAAGTGTAACAAATTTGACCCAGATAAAGACAGGAAGTGGAACTTGTCTGATCTGGACAGGAAGTGGAACTTGTCTGATCTGGACTGGAAGTGGAACAGGTCTGACCTGGATCTGGACAGGAAGTGGAACTTGTCTGACCTGGATCTGGACTGGAAGTGGAACAGGTCTGACCTGGTCCAGGACAGGAAGTGGAACTTGTCTGATCTGGATCTGGACTGGAAGTGGAACTTGTCTGATCTGGTCCAGGACAGGAAGCGGAACTTGTCTGATCTGGACAGGAAGTGGAACTTGTCTGATCTGGACTGGAAGTGGAACAGGTCTGACCTGGATCTGGACAGGAAGTGGAACTTGTCTGACCTGGATCTGGACTGGAAGTGGAACAGGTCTGACCTGGATCTGGACAGGAAGTGGAACTTGTCTGACCTGGTCCAGGAC